TATCGCGGGCGCCTTTACGCTGTTTTTTATGCTGCATGGTACAATGAAATGGGAGCGCCGTGATTTAACGATCCTATTGCTGAATACTTCCAGCTGCTCCAGTTTTTCACTAATACACTTTAGTGGACACTCAAATACTTCTATGTGTGCTTTTGTGCACAAAGATAATCCAATAATTTTAATCTAATTAAAGGCAAATCCAAGAGTCATCTTTTTTCCACTCTTACTGCCCTCTAATCCTTCCTCAAATCCTGACATTCTGCCTCCAAAATATATTAACCCAGTAGGGTTATTTTTTCTCTATTTCTCCACCTTCAGTACCACTGTAGTCCAATTCACCATTCTCCCTCACCTGGCCTCTTTTGATAGCCTCCTTCAAAGGCCCCTTCATTGCTCCCCTCCTTCCCTCTTGGCCCTTGGTTGTCCCTTCTCCACACAGCAATGAGAGGTCTTTCCAAATCTAAGTCAGTTCTTGTCACTCCCTGCTTAAAGCCCTTCAGTGTCCTGGAGATATGTGAATGAAATCCCATCTTTCAGCTTGGCCTTCTGTAATCTACATGACCCCACCATAACCACCTCTCTGACCTCAACATGTACCAGATGTATCACTCTCCCTCTCTTTCCCTATCCTTGAGTCCAACTAGCCTTCTTTCTATCCTCTAGCAAGCCCATTCCCACCTCAGAGCCTTTGCACATGCTGCTGCTTCTGCCTAGAAAAACCATCCTTTGATTCTGCATGACTGATACCATCTTGCCATCCTCAGAGAGGGCGCCTTTTTTTTTAAGAAGTCCCCATTCCCTCCTCCATCACCCTCTATCACGTTACCCTTATTTTTTTTTATAACTCATAGCACTATCCAAAATTTACGCATTTTCTTATTTATTGACTCTCTTCTGTCTAAATACAAACCCCACGAGAGGTGTCTTGTCTTCTTCCCTATTTTATTCTCATCACTAGAAGAGTGCCTGGCACGTAAAAGGTGCTCAGTAAAGATTTGTTGAGTGAATAAATGATTGAGTATCAGATGAAAGAGGATGCCTATTTTTAATTTTGACAAGAAATGGCAAAATGCCCTCTAGAAGTTCCATCGATTTAAACCCCGGCCAACCATGTAAAGTAGAGCTCTATGCCTTAGACATCATCCCGATACTAGGCTTATTTATCTTTTTAAATTTTGTCAGTCTGAAACATGAAAAATATCTCCTTCTTTTAACTCGTTTTTCCTGATCATTAGTGAAATGGAGTAACTTTCATATGTTTAATAGACATTTGTATTTCTTCTTTACTTTTCATGCCCTTTACCCATTTTCCTATTGAGTTTTTCACCTCTATCTTATTAGTTTGTAGGAACTCTTTGTAGATTTAAGAAATTACTTTTTTTTTAAAAGATTTTATTTTTCCTTCCAAAGCCCCCCAGTACATAGTTGTGTATTTTTAGTTGTGGCATGTGGGATGCTGCCTCAGCGTGGCCTGATGAGCGGTGCCATGTCCGCGTCCAGGATTCGAACCGGTGAAACCCCGGGCCACCACAGCAGAGCTTGCAAACTTAACCACTCGGCCACGGGGCCGGCCCCTATTGTTGATTGTTATATGTGTTGCAAGGTTGCAAGAGGTTTCTTCCAATTTGTCTTTTTATTTTATTTAATTTTTAATCTCAGTCGTTTGGAAGTAAGGTGTTGTGATTAAGGGCACAGATTCTGGGGCTCGACTGCTGGGTACAAACACCAGCTTTGCCTCTTTCCAGTCATGTGAGCCAGCAGGTTACTCAACTGTACCTCCATTTCTTCATCTGTAAAGAGGGGATAATTATAGACCCTCAACTCATACGGTTGTGAGGACGAAATTAATTGATGTTTGTCAAGTGCTTAGAACAATGTTTGGCACATGGTAAATACTATAAAGTGTTAGCCGTGGGGTTTGATATCTTGAGATGCTTTTCCTAACCTCCCAGATTATAAAAATATTCACCTGTATTTTCTCCTAATACTTTCATAGTTTTACCCTGTGCATTTAGATCTTTAACCCATCTGGAATTTACTTAAGGTATGAGGTAGAGATATAACTTTTGTTGTCCCCAAACACATAGCTGATTGTCGCAACCCTAGTGAATCTGCTATTATTTCTCCAATGACTCAAAATGCTACCATGTGGGTCTATATCTGGACTCTATTCTGTTTCATTGCTCTATTTAGTATTATTGCACCAATAATACAATTTTAATTATTGTAACATAAATTTTCTTATCTGGTAAGACAAATGCCTGCTGTACTCTTATTTTGCAAAATTTTCCTGGCTATACTTGAAAGTTAATTCTTCTGATTATGTTTAGAATCAAGCTCCCCCAAAAAGTCTCGTTATTTTATGTGGCATTAAATGTTCAGACAATTTGCAGAGAAATGACATCTTTATAATGAAAGTTTTTCCCACCTAGAATATGGTGTATCTCTTTCCTTTTTTCTTGCCTTCTTTACTGTCTTTCTAAAGCTGTCCTTATATTAATATCTTTTAATACAGTTGTTTTTATGCCATGTAGACCACTTATCTTTCAGTTCCAAAAGCACTTTAGATATGTAGCAATACAGATCTCATTACCTTCTGATGCTGACCCTTTGACAAAAGCGATTCATGAGTCTAAAAGAAATGTATCATCTAGGGCCAGCCCAGGTGGCCTAGTGGTTAAGTTTGGTGCGCTCTCTTCGGTGGCCCGGGTTTGGTTCCTGGGCATGGACCTACACCACTCATCTGTCAGTGGCCATGCTGTGGCAGCAGTTCACATACAAAAAGAGGAATATTGTCAGTGGATATAAGATCAGGGCAAATCTTCTTCAGGAGAAAGAAAAAGAAATGTATGATCTAAACTTGAAAGGGGTGAAGAGTGAACTCAGAAGGTGGTGAAAGAACTGAGGGGTGGGGAAGTGGCAGCTGGTGGGCAAGATCCGTATTTGAACCCTAAACATGATCTCAGAAGCTGTCTTGTGTGCATAGAAAAGTGGAGGGAGAAGTGTACAGTTAATTCATTTGGGGAAGACGGCGAGTATGAGAAAAGAGATGGAAGAAGAAAAACTTCTTTAACTCCTTCAATCCAGAAATATCAGTCATCCATCATCCTCCCCAAGTCCAGTCAATTTTGCCCTAGAAATGACTCTTCAACCTCTTCTCCTTTCCACTCTATCGTTTATCATCTCCCCTTGACTAGTTTTAATCTGCAACAGCCTTGCCCCACTCCCTCCACCCTCCTCATTGCCCAGAACTAGCTGCCTAAAAGATAAATCTCATGATGCCACTTCCTTGCTTAAAAAACTACTACTGGATCCATGTGTCCTCCTCCAGGGCAGGGCCCCACTCTCATTCCCTCACCTGCTATACAAAATCTCCCTTTTAACTGTTCCAGCCTCCTCCTCAGTCTTCTCTCTCCTGCCATCTATCCCCACAAACACTTCAGAACAAGATGTGCCTCACCTTTCTCTCTTTGGAATACCCTTTCTCAACTTCTGCCCACTATTCAGAAAGATTGTCCTCAAATGTCCCCTCCTCTGTACAGCCTGCACTCCCTCCACCCCCGCCCCAGCTAAATGCTGGTAGTTGCTTTGTCTTCTGAGTCATACCTCTATTATAGCATTCCTGGGATCATAATACCATTTTATGTGTCTCCTCAACTATACTATTCGGAAGGCAAGGGCCATGTTAACTAATGTCTGTGTACCCACCGCCTAGCATAGTGACTAGCACAAAATAAGCATGGATAGATGGAAGGATGGATGGATGGACGGACGGATGGATAGATGGGTGGATGGGTGGGTGGGATGATAGTGAGGGAGGAAGGAAGGAATGAACGGATGGGTGAGTGGGTGGGTGGATGGACATTAGTTGCGGTGAGTGGACGGAGGAGATGGGTAGTTGGAGCAATTAGAAAAGTAACCCTGCGAAGCTCAAAAAGAGACACCAGGGGGAGCTGACACGCTACAAGAAAGAAGCGGGAGGGCGGTCCAAAGAAGGCTGCAAGCTCTGGGATGAGCGGGTGAGCGGCGCGCGCTAAGGCAAGCACCACGCAAGTGGAACCGCTCACCCACGTGTGTTATCCCTCATCCTCCTTCCCAGACTGTGCTCGAGCTGCTTGCACCGCCCCCACACTCTAATCGCCTCCGCCGCCACAGAGAAAGCAAACAAAGGGGTGGAAACCCCTGCAGGGTTCTGGATGCAGGGAGCCAATCAAGGGCTCTAACCTTCTGGAAGGCGGGAGCCTTCGTTTAAGGGAGCCAAATCAGTTTCTAACCGAGTGCGGAGGGGCGGAGAGATGGGCGGGAAGAGCAGAGAGTAGAGACAGCGCCCGGGGAGAGATCCCTCGGGAAGGGTGGGGATAGAGCGCGGAGGGGGCGGGGGCGGAGCCAATCGCCGCGCGTGTCTGTGAGGAGAAGGCGGGCAGCGCCGCGGCGCGCGCGATCCGGGCTGACGCATCTGGCCCCTGTTCCCCGGGATCGAGGGGGGGCCCGGAGGGGAGGGGGAGAGGAGAAAGAGCCGAGGGCGCGCTTGCGCAGTGGCGCGGGGAGGAGCAGGGACTTGGCAGCGGGCTTGGAGGCTGCAAGCGAGCCGCGAACCGGGCGGGCGGCGGGCGCGCGCACCATGGGGGAGAAACCCGGGACCAGGTAAGGGAGGTGGGGCCACGCGGCGGGACGTGGGCGGCGGCCCAGGGCGGGTGCCGGGACGGTCCCCAGACAAGGCCACCCGGGAGAGAATCCGGGGGCCGGACGCCTGGGTCCCTAGGGGCCAGCCATTCGGGGCCGCACGCCTAGGTCCTCGAGGATAATGAGGGAGACGCATGCTGGGAACCCTGCAGAAAGCGAGGGCTGAAGGGGATCAGGAAACCGGCATCTGGGTTCTCGCAGGGATGTGGAGGCCGGACGACTGGGTTCTCCGGTGCAGGCTGCGATGCAGGGGCGGAGGAAGGAGGAGCAGGTGGCCAGTCCCAAGGGGTCGGGTATGGGCAAGCTGGGTGCCGGGAGGGGGATCCCCCGCTAGACTCGTGCCGAGCCACTGGAAAGCCTCCTGTCCAATACCCTACAGGCAGCTGGGCTGCCCCCACTGTCCCGAGGGCCGCCTCCGCTTCCAAACTTCTGCCTTCCCCCGGGTTGCTAGGAGCAACAGCTTCATCTTGGGGGAGCAGAGTGCGCGGCGACCCTCCTCGATTATGGGCCTTGCCCTTCTTCCCTGGGGTGAGGGGAGGCAGTATGTGCCCTGGGCACACCATCCACTCCCCGGATGTTTTCTGTGCAATCGAGGCTCTTTCCTTCCACTGACACCTCGAGTTCTCTTTTTTGGTCTCTAGCAAAATCCACTTCCTGTTGTGACCCAACACCCCTAAAGGGACAGTGGGTGCATGCCTGAGTCCCTGGGGAGCAGGAGCAAAAGAGGAAAAGATTGGGGCTGTATGTCTCTATCCAGAGGGCATCAGGAATGGGACCCTGGTCCTAAGCTGTCACTTATTCTACAAAACACTATCATATCAGCCCACCACTCTCCACCCATAGAGTAGGAGAACCCAGGCTTCTGAGCACCAAGTTGACTAGTATTGGAGAGAGATGATCAGAAGGAGGATTGGTGTCCTAGATTAGAGATTAAACACCCCCAGAGAAAGGGGAAGTCGCTAACTTGAGGGAGGCCCCCAATTTCCGTTATGTGGTTCAGGGAGGAGGACTGATGGACCAAAGGGGGACTGCTGACTTGGCACAATTCCTGCCACCCCCATCAAATTCTGGGCCACAGAAAATGAAGAGAATAGCAGGAAGTGCGAGGGGGCATCTGCTTCTGCTGCCCCGCTTCATTGGGCACCTCCATGGTCACCCCAACACTCTGCCTCCTTGGCCAGCCTCAGTATACACATGCTGCTCCCCCCTAGCCTGGCAGGGTGTTGGCTGGGTTAGGATCCAAAGGGCAGGTGCCCTGCAGCTGCTCCAGGGCAGTTATTCCAAAGCCACACTCCAGTTGGCCAACTCATTGTGGCTGTTGCAGCCCTCTGCCAGGGCTCCTAATTGGAAGAAACACTGGGACAAAGAGGGAAATCGGAAGCAAAGGGGAAGGAGAGCTGGATGATGCCATAGTAAGCATCCCCCAAGTTGGGACAAGAGATGGGGTGCTTTTTCTTGCTGCCACCATATCAATGCTTACTCTCCTTTATTGAATGGGAATACTTGGGGACCTCCATACCCTCTGCCTTATGGCATTTGGATAGCTTGGCCTTCTGGGAAGAAGGGGCAATTGAAGTTGTTATAGCAGAAACAAGTGGTGGGGTTGGAGAAGGGATGGACCAGTTGGCAGGATTTCAGTTTCTACTATCTGGGGACCCTTCCCAGGGATCACTGCCAAGCCAGTGAATTGGGAGTGGACTGTAAGGTGGTACAGCAAAGAACAAGCCCACGAGTGGCCAGAGCATTGGAGCAGCCAGACACTTCCCCACCCTCCTAATGGGTGGAGTGCTCCCTTAAACTGTTTCGGCAACTGGAAAGCAAATCTCCTTCGATTCAACAAACTTGATGTCAATTACAGAGGCAGGGTAGTACAGTCGGCCCTCTGTATCTGTAGGGTCCACATCCGCAGATTCAACCAACCACGGATCTAAAGGCCTACGATGGTTGTGTCTGTACTGAACATGTAAAGACTTTTTTTCTTATCATTATTCCCTAAACAATACCAATGCTAGTTACATTGTATTCAGTATTATAGATAATCTAGAGATGATTTAAAGTATCTGAGAGGATGTGCATAGGTCATATGCAAATACTACACCATTTTATATAAGAGACTTGAGCATCTGCGGTTTTGGGTATCCGCAGGGGTCCTGGAACCAATTCCCTGCAGATACCAAGGGACAACTGTATAATGGTTTAGTGACTAATGCATGGACTTGGAGCCGGGTTGGCTCTGTTTTTATCTGAATTCCACCATTTACACTGTGACTTTAGGCAAGATACTTGACCTTTCCAGTACCTTAGTTTCCTCAACTGTAAAATAGGAATATTAGGACTTCCAGCATTGGGTTATTAAGAGTATTAAATTACGTGAAACACTTGAAACAGTGCTGAGCACACAGTATTCACCCAATAAATGCTAGCCAGCTCGTCATCTTTGTCGTATGGCTGGCATGGTGCTGGGGATGCCTAAATGAATAAGGCCTCTGATGTTCACACTCTGTCTGGTGAGACAGATGATACACAGCTAACTGCCCTTGTGTGCTATCACACCACAAGTAAAGCATAAACAAGGTGTGACAGGAGCCCAAAAAAAGGGGTGACCAGTGGATCTGCTTTATAAAGGAAGTGGTATCTGAGCTGGGCGTTGAAAGACAAATAGGCTTTTAAGCTGCTGAGATCAGAGATGAGGACAGTTGGAGGTTAATGGAGTAGGGTCACACTTAGGTAGCGCCTACAGTAGAGCACTTTAGAGGCAAAGGCCAGGGCCATTGCTCTTCCAAGTACTCCAGCTGTCATTGGAGCTGGAGACCAGAGAAGATGGAAGGAGGGTTGATTAGGTCTTACACAGACACTGCTGCGACCTGCCCATTCGGGTCTCCCTGGGGGAGGTTCTCTGGGAGGAACCTGGGTGGTTCCTGTGGCACCCAGTGGCACAGGAGGTGGGGAACTAGTAAGGGTGGACCAAGGAGGGGTTGCCATGTTGGAAATATTAAGGACCTGTGGTTGCCTTTCCTTCCCAGAAGCAGTGGGAGGTGGTAGGGCTGGGCAAAGCCCCAGAGCCTCCAGACAGGACTCCTGGGTGAGCTCTGCTCAGGCTGGGGAGGGACAAGGTCCTGGCGCGGGGGTCCTTGCTGAGTCTGAGGGAGGCAGTGGGGTTTCCCTTTCTGTTTTGTTAGGGTCTTCAAGAAGTCAAGCCCTAACTGCAAGGTGAGTCTCCCACAGTGCTTCTCCTCCTGACCCTCCCTAGGCCCTTGCAAAGCCTAGCCTGCCCCCAGCCGATCCCCAACCCCTAGCTCCCCACTTCCTGTGACAGCTAAGAGCCGACTTCCTCCCCTCCTGAAGCCCCTTGCCACAAAGGCTGCTCCGCCTGAGCCTGAGCCAGCTACAGGGCGGGGTGGGGACAGGCCTGGGCCCCTAAGCAAGACCAAGGGGGAGGAGCCAGAAGCCCATGCCTGTAGCCCTCTTAGGAGCCACCCAGGGTGCCTGGGGCTGGAACGGTGAACAGTCTCCTAGGCTATGGCCTGTTTATCCCAGAACCGCTTGAGGGGAATGAGTGAGGCTGACAGCCCCTCTCTAACTGGCTGCCTAGGACCGGGTTCTCCCTGAGGACTCACACACCTGACTGTTGGGCAGAGGTGTGAAAAGATATTAGGGAGCAGCTAAAAAGCCTCAAGGTGGCTAAAAGCCCCACCACCCTCCCTTTCCAACCCTACTGCGGGGAAACCAGAGAAGATCCTTCCAATACCCCAGCCTGGGAAGAACAGGGCAGGCCAGCCACTTTTGAGGGCTCTGATGCCCTGCCACCCTCCTATCCAATCTTCCCTGTGACCCCTCTCCATCCTCAGCTCACCGTATACTTGGGCAAGCGGGACTTTGTAGATCACCTGGACAAAGTGGATCCTGTAGGTAAGTGCCCAGAAAGTGGCATCACGTCCCCCAAGAGGGGAAGAAGTTCCTGGGCCCAGGAATGGAGGAGAGGCCAGGACAGGAAATGAGTTCATGTGTCTCCTTCCAGATGGTGTGGTGCTTGTGGACCCCGACTACTTGAAGGATCGCAAAGGTACTGGCCCCAAGTCCAGAGGCCCAAGGGGAGGTAGGGAGTTGGAGAAGGGAACTGGCATTGAGAGGGGCCCCAGAGAGGTAGCGGGCTGAGGCAGAAGCCAGGAGTAGGATTCAGGCAGGTTTTATGCTGCTGAGGAGGGAGCAGCTGCTGCTAGGTACTGGGGTACTGGGAAAGAGGGGCTCCTGACCACCTCACCTTGCCCTCCCTTGCCAGTGTTTGTGACCCTCACCTGCGCCTTCCGCTATGGCCGCGAGGACCTGGATGTGCTGGGCTTGTCCTTCCGCAAAGACCTGTTCATCGCCACCTACCAGGCCTTCCCCCCAATGCCCAACCCGCCCCGGCCCCCCACCCGCCTGCAGGACCGGCTGCTGAGGAAGCTGGGCCAGCATGCCCACCCCTTTTTTTTCACAGTGAGGATGCCCCCCACCATCTGCAGGGCCAGGGGTCTGGGACTGTTTGGGGGGTGAGGCACCTATTATGGGCAGATCTGGAAGAAACAGTAAAAGGGGCCCTGACCCACCTCCCTTCAGGGTCACCCTGCACTCAGAAGCCCTTGCCTCTCTGCCTCCTCCCTGGGACCCCTTCCTTCTTCCTTTCTCATCCCCAGGAGTCCTTCCCCAGCCTCTTAAATTGAGATTGGGAGGAAGATTTGGGGGCTTTCTGGGGGAACTGAAGCCTCCCCTTTCCCCTGCCACAGATACCCCAGAATCTGCCCTGCTCCGTCACACTGCAGCCGGGCCCAGAGGACACAGGGAAGGTATGGGAGGAATGGCTCTGAGAGCTCCTAGGGCAGAACAGGGTCCAGCAGGAGCCGGGGGCACACCTGAGAGGGGAGTGGGCTGGTGAGGAGAAGCCAGGGTGGAACTAAGGGTAGGAAATGTCCCCAGTGGAAGTGGCATGTGTATGGGATGGTCACTGCTCACATGTGACACTGCCTCCTGCTCCCGACCTGCAGGTACCTGGGTCTAGGGGCTCACCTTGCACAGCCAGGACAGAGCCTCTACCAGGTGCTGGGCCTCAGGGAGGCAGAGGAGCAAGACTCAGGCTCTGTACTCCTCAGACCATGATGGGGCGAGAGTCCTTGCCCAAGACGGCAGAAGAGGGAAGGAAGGGAGTGGTGGTGGCGGCAGGGGCCTTGTGTAAGATGTGACCTTTCCTCCCCCTCCCAAGGCTTGTGGGGTAGACTTTGAGATTCGAGCCTTCTGTGCCAAATCAATAGAAGAGAAAAGCCACAAAAGGTGAGGGAAGGAAGCTCCCCTGTGGTTTGACCATTCCCTCCCTGCTCCCAGGAGCCCCAGGCCCCTGTGGGAGGTGAGAGCGGGTGTTTGGGTGTCTGAGGACTCACCCCTTCCACCCCCAGGAACTCTGTGCGTCTGGTGATCCGAAAGGTGCAGTTTGCCCCAGAGAAACCTGGCCCCCAGCCTTCAGCTGAAACCACACGCCACTTCCTCATGTCTGACCGGTCCCTGCACCTTGAGGCTTCCCTGGACAAGGAGGTGGGGTGTGAGAGGGTGATGCAGGTGCTACAGTGCAGGCCAGACCCTGGGGGGAGGGGGTAAGCCACGTGTCAGGATGGCGTTTTTAAAGGAGGCTGCCTTAGCTGGGTGTGGAGAGTTGCTGAGGGCTTGGGTTTAGAGGGGGAAAGCCAAGCAGCGTGTCTGTGTCAATAGTAATAATGGGACCAGTGAAAACAGATCGAATTAACTTGACGCCCCTCCCCTCAAAAGCTGTACTACCACGGGGAGCCCCTCAATGTCAATGTCCATGTCACCAACAACTCCACCAAGACTGTCAAGAAGATCAAAGTTTCTGGTAGGAGGTGGGGGTCGGAAGGGGGTCTCAGGGGAGGGAGTTGCTGCACATGTGGCTTCTGGCGAGATCTCAGCCCCAAGGACATAGCCCAGTGCGGGAGGCCCCCCAGAGCTCAAAGAATTCAGGCTGTCAGAGGATGAGATACTGGGCTGCCCCCCTCCCCGCCCCCCTGTGTTTACCACTATGGGAAGGGCCAAGTGTCACAGTGGTGGGGGTGGTGCTGGGCTGAGGCCTGGAGCCCTTGCCACATGGTCTGCAGTGGGGCAGTAGTCTATGCTCCATGCAGAGCTGCTTCACCCCACCCCACCCCACAGTGAGACAGTATGCTGACATCTGCCTCTTCAGCACTGCCCAGTACAAGTGTCCTGTGGCTCAGATCGAACAAGAGTGAGTATCAGAACAGCTCTGGGTCCCAACCTCGGGGAAAGAGTAGGCCCAGATGAATGTGAGGTGGGGGCAGAATTCTTCCCAAACTATCTCCACTTACAAGGGCATTCCCTCCACAGTCCAGTGGCTCTGAGCTGTGAATTTTCATAAGCAGGTTGAGACAAAACCTACTCCCTGTGACCCATTCCCAAGGAGAGAAGGGGCTAGTGGTGGGAAAGATGCTGCCCCCTTGCCCAGCCTGGCCCTCCAAGAGTCTTGTCGTCTTGTCCCCACCCTCAGTGACCAGGTATCTCCCAGCTCCACGTTCTGTAAGGTGTACACCATAACTCCGCTGCTCAGCAACAATCGGGAGAAGCGTGGTCTTGCCCTGGATGGGAAGCTCAAGCACGAGGACACTAACCTGGCCTCCAGCACCATGTGAGGGAGGGAGCTAGATCTGGGGGGGCGGGGGGCTCCTGCAGCCCAGGAGACACATGTTCGTTCAGTGCCAGCTGTGTGCCGTCCTCTGTTCTAGGTGCCAGGGCTCTATCAGTGAACAGAAGAGAGAAAAAGTCTCTTATATTCTAGGGGAGGGAGGACAGACAAAACAGATAAACGGTAAAATATACAGCATGTCTTGTGACAAGTGTCAAGGAGGAAAAGCAAGGCAGGGGAGGAAGATACAAAGTTTAGAGAGAGTGGCAGGGTACGTTAACTTTAAATAAGGTGACTAGGGAAGGCATAGTCCAGAGGGGCATTTTGAGTAAGGATCCAAAGGAAGTAGGCGATGTGAACAAGCAGGGAGAGTGCTCCAAGCAGAGAGAACGGCAAGCACAAAGAGTCAGAGGTGGACCGGGCCCCGTGTGTTTGAGGAAGAGCCTCAGGGTGACTCCTGGCCTCTGTGGGGCCACTGTGCCTTAGAGCAGGAGCAGCCCCAGAGATCCACATCTTCACAAAGTAAGGGCTGGATTTCAGCCCCACTGGCACCTTTGTACAGAGTACACACTGCATGAGCACACACAGCAGGCTTGGAGGCCAGCATGGTGAGAATGAACTACAAAGAGAGGCGTAGGAGGTGGGGTCAGAGGGCCAAATGAGAGCAAGGCACTGCAGGGCTGTTAGGTCCCAAGGACTTCAGCTTTTACCGTGAGAGAGGTGAGAAGCCACGGGAGGGTTCTGCACGGAAGAATGCCATGAGGTACTTTACCGTGATAAGAGCACAGCCTATGCTGCAGGAGCGAGTTTGTGGTCCTGCTCAGAGTCCTGATGGGAGGCGTGGGCTGGGATGCAAGGCGTTGGGGCCTGGTCCAACTCCTCCCCCCAACTGCAGTGTGAAGGAGGGTGCCAACAAGGAGGTGCTGGGAATCCTGGTGTCCTACAGGGTCAAGGTGAAGCTGGTGGTGTCTCGCGGCGGGTGAGTGCAGTCGGGGAGCCTGAGGTGGGGGGTTGTAGTGCTCTCCTCTGGCTCTGCATTGTCGTTCTCGCTTCATGCCACCGTTCTCCCTCCCCAGGGATGTCTCTGTGGAGCTACCTTTTGTTCTTATGCACCCCAAGCCCCATGACCACATCACCCTTCCCAGACCCCAGTCAGGTGAGCATGCCATCCACCCTAAGCCCCCGGACGGAGGGCCTGAAGCAAGGCCAGTGCAAAAAAGTTGGCCTTCCAGCACCCACCCACCCACCCCCTCTCCTGCTCCCCTCAGCTGCTCCTGAAACAGATGCCCCTGTGGACACCAACCTCATTGAATTTGATACCAAGTAAGAGACTCATCCCCTGTCTTCCGACCTTTGACCCTCTGCACAAAGATTCCTGTAACATTCCAATCTACCCTCTACCCCGTATTTTTTTCTCTTGGGGGAGGGATGGTTGAAACATCAAATCGCGATGACTTTGAGCATTGTGAGCTGCTGGTTACTGCCCCCTCTTTGTCCCTTCTCGCAAAACCAGCAGTCCTGTTGCTGCTCTGATACCTGGGTCTCTAGGAGGGGAGTGGGAGGTTGAGAGGAGGGTCCGAAGCCCTCACCTCACCCCCTCCTTTCTGTCACCAAGCTATGCCACAGATGACGACATTGTGTTTGAGGACTTTGCCCGGCTTCGGCTGAAGGGGATGAAGGATGAGGACTACGACGACCAGTTCTGCTAGGAAGGGGGGCTGGAAGAAGGGAGTGGATGGTGCTGGGAGAGGTAGGGGCAGGACCAAGATCCCCACTGTTGTTGGAGGGGTCCCAGCCTCTCTTCCCTTCCCCTCCATCCAGCAGCTTCCTCAACCATCCCCTTCCCTTCCTTCCTCCCCCATCCCCCCTAGATACGCACTGGACTCATCTCTTGTTGAACATGGGCATTAATTTTTTGACTACAGCTCTGCTTCCCCAACCCCCCAATGGGTGGCAAGCTGTGTTCACACCTAAGTATTCTGGAGAGGGACACTGAAAAGGGGAGTGATAGTAGAGAAAGAGGGGAGAAAGAACTCCCACATTCAACCTCACACCAACATCCCCTCCTGTCACTATCTCTGCTCCCAGTCCTTCAAGATGAGACCCTTTGGGGGGCAAGGCCACTTCTTTGTTTCTGAACATAAAGAAGAAAATAAACCTTTTAATAGGCCTGAGGGTGTGTGTTTTCTATGTAGCATTTAAGGTGAATACAGCGTGCTCATCCGTGACTCTGTTAGCTTGTGGGTGAGGACCCAGTCTCTACTCTGCACCTGCATGGCACCCAGCCCACAGGCTGTCAATAAGTGTTTACCGAATGACTGGGCTATACCTGTGTTCCAACGTAAACATCAAAACTTTGATTTGGTCAGTCCACAGTCAAGGGTACGGTTGGGTAAAGCTGCAAAGTAAACTTATTCCTTTACAAGGTGAATAAGAACTCACTTGCCTGCAGACTAGATGCCCCTGGGAGCTGGGCAGGGCAGGCTCTTACCTGCTGCGGCCAACACACATGACCGCATGGTGACCTGCTGTGTTCATTTCCACCGCTCCTGTGGTTGCTCAAGCAGTCCATTCCTGGGGCTCAGTCGACCCACAGCTAGAGGCCTCACCAGACAGAAGCCACACGACATCTCCACGGAACCTGGTACTTACATTCTAAAACAGAAGCCAAGGCTTTGGGCAGCCAAAGAGTCATGCTGCTGGGCAAGTGTGAGAACCTCCATCAAACTGCTGCTCCTCTGACGCTTATCAGGGACCCTGTGGCTTGAGTGGGAGCCCCAGGCTGGGTGGGAGGGAGGCAGCAACACTCCACTGACATTCCTCACCTCTACCCCCTACTCCCACTCCTGTGGCCCAAGCTTTCTCTCCTTTTTCTCTTACGGCTCATTCATTCATTCCATGATCACTTTTGATTTTCAGTCCCTATTATGTGCCAGACACAGTATAGGAACACAGCAGTGACCAAAACAAATATTAAGTCATTCCCTAATTATTTAATTGCACTGTGCTCCAGAGGACAAGTACAGGAGCTATGAGAAGGCATGACAGGGAGTTCTGACCTAAGCTGAGTTGGGGGCAGATTTCCCTGGAGGAAGTGACCTGTGAGCAGAGAACTGGAAGATGAGGAAGAGCAAGTATTCCGGGCAATGGCAATGCCATGTGTGAAGGCAGGAAGGAACAGAGCACATTTCAGGGACTGAAAGAAGCCAGAGGGACTAGGACAGAGATAGCCAAGGGTAAAGTAGTTTCAGATGAGGCTGGGAAGGCAGACGGGGCAGCTCAAATAGGCCTTTAGTCTATGTTATCGCTCATGACATCTAATTAAATCATTATTTACCCACAGGCTTTAAGTGCTGCCAAAATGCCAATGACTTTGCCCACTCCATCACAGGAGCAGCCTACCCTGCACACCCTGGTCTTTATCACATGGAGTAACCATTGGCATCCCTCTGACTCCCGTGAACCTGTTCCTTGACCTCTGAGCTCTTGGCCCATGGATCTCAAACTTCTTCAGGTGAATCAGAATCCTCTGGGAGGCACGAAAAAGACAGAGTCCCAGGCTCTACCTTCCCAGATTCTGATTCAGTAGGTCCCAGGAAGAATCCATGAATCTGGATTTTGAATTTGCACACTTTGAAAGACTATGCCTTTTTCCTTTTAGCTTTTTATGTTTTTAATGTTTTTAAGAGGGCTTTTTAAAAAACATAGTTTCAAAACAAAAAAAAAAAACCCCAAACAGTAAACTAAAAAGAAGGCTCCGTCCTGCTCCTGATCCCCAGCCTCCCAGTTCACAGTCCCACAGGCAACCACCATCACCAGTTGCTTGATTATTCTGCCAAAGATATTCTTCAGACTCAGTTACACATGTAGGACTCTGTCTCCCCAGGACAGCAGCATGTGTGCACACTCTTTACACCTTGCTTCTTTCCCTGAAGAGTGTAGCTAGGAGAGCATCCCTTTAACAATACTCTAACTCTACCTCATTCCTTTACAGAGCTGCATAACTTTCCATTGCCTAGATGTCATTTGCTTTTACATTTCCTACCAATGGACGTGAAGGATGTCCACTCTTTTGCTAATTCAAACAATATTTATCTTTGAAGATAGGTCTTTTTGCGCATATAAATATATCTGTGGGACAAATTCTTAAAAGTAAAATTGCTGGGTCAATGAAGGTGAGCATCTTTTTGATCCTGCCTATCAAGCAGGTGAAATATGGTATCATCCTAGTTTTAATTTGCATTTCTTTGATTATGAGTGAGGATGACCCGATTGATTGAGTTGATGTTCTTTTTCTTTTTCCTTTGTTTTTTTTGAGGAAGATTAGCCCGGAGCTAACATCCACTGCCAATCCTCCTCTTTTTGCTGAGGAAGATTGGCCCTAACATCTGTGTCCATCTTCCTCTACTTTATATGTGGGACACCTGCCACAGCATGGCTTGATAAGCCGTGCATAAGTCTGTGCCTGGATCCGGGCCAGCAAACCCCGGACCTCTAAATCAGAGCAGGTGAACTTAACTGCTATGCCACAGGGCCAGCCCCAATGTTCTTTTTCTTAATGCACTCTAAGAGCTCTTTATATGGTAAAGAAATTAGCCCTTTGTCATATATTTTGCAAATATTTTTCCTAGTTTGTCATTTGCCTTTTGAATTTGTTTCTAGTTTTTTTTTAACTGAGGTAAAATTCATATAACATAAAATTAACCATTTTAAAGTATACAATTCAGTGGCACTTAGTACGTTAACAATGTTGTGTAACCATCACTTCTAGTGTCAAAGTATTTTGCTTCTGGTATTTTTAATAATTCATAAATTTTTTATTTTAATGTAGTCAATTATAATTACTTTTTTGATGGCTTCGTGGTTTTTTGTCACAAATCTCTTGGCCCTTCTGTTTTCTCACAATTTGAGAAATTTCTCACAATTTCTCACAACTTCCTTTTCTTTCCAGGCTAGACTTCAAGATCATCATATCAGCCAGTATCTCATTAGCACCCTCAACTTCTCCTTTCGCAATACCTCCTCTCAACCCCACCCTTAACTCTATCCAACCACCACCCCGCCCTTCTCCACTTCAACACTACCAGAGAAGAATCACACCACCGTATTTATTTGTTCACTCAACAAATATTTCTGAACGTACCCTAGGTGCCAACACTGTGCTAGGTGCTGGGTATAGATTTGGGGCCCCTACAAACTTATGGTCTCTAACTTCAGCTGGGCTCTCAATACCTGATAACGCCTTGTCCTCTCCATGTCCTCAGTCACCTCCCGCTCCTGCTCCCATCCTACTCACTAACTTTCCAAACCTTCCTCACACTCACAGGGACTTTTCCTCCCATTTTTCACAGAAATTAGGCTCTGAGGGATGAATGATTTCGATTTCCCACCTCCTACCGACAAACGCTGACATCTACACCAATTCTCCTACACACCAAGGTTAGGATGCCTTCTCCAGTTCAAAACTAATCCCTCTCTCTGCGCTCAGATGGCTCCCTTCCCACCTCCTCTGAGACCTTGAATCATCAAACCACCCCCCTCTTCAACCTGCCTCTCTCCTGGTGCTTCCTCCGTGGTAAATAAACCCACACAAGTCTCTTGCATTAAAGGAAGGAAGGAAGGAAGGGAGGAGGAAGGAAGGAGGGAAGGAAACCACTCCTCCACTTCAGCTCTCTTTCACAGTGAAGTATATCTCTATCTCCTCTCTCACTTTTTATTTCTGTTTAGTTTTTATTTCCAAAGTTACACAGAAACATAGTTTAAGGAGTCAGATATACTGCAAGGCCTATTACAATAAAGAGTAGACCCCTTCCCTCTCCAGTTTCCTTCTCAGAGGCAACTACTTTCACCTCCTTTAGATGTTTCTTTTAGTATTTACCTCCATATCTATAAATAACAGGATTATTTTGTTACTTCTTGATTTTTGTTTTAAGTATCATCTACTGGCTTCCTGCCATATAGGGCGAAGATTGAGCTCCTTTTCACCCCCGTGCCCCACCGTGGAACATTTTCCATACTGCCCTCAGATCCTATACTCCCAAGAGAATTCTATCCATTGGGGTTAGATCAATATTCAATTTTTACATTATGCTGATGCAAATGTTATCTATGGCTGACTCATGTAGCATATTGATTACCTTTCTCTTCTTGCACAAACTTGTTTTCCCTGAATAACTGACATTTAAAGAATTTGCTTATTCTCTGAATTTATCACTAATTCTTGTCTATACACTCCTCCAGAAGTCTATATATCCTCTCAATGCATTCAAAACAAACAGATGTCTTTCATCTCCTTGAAGAAATATCTCCGGGAGCCTTCTAATCTGCTCCATTCTGAACTGGATGTTCTTCACGCCTGTCACCCTGGATCTCCCTTCACCCAAAGCTGGGGGTTCCTGTTCACCTCTCTTGCAAGTTGAAGGCCTTAGTTCCTGCATCTTCCTCTTCTGGGTCTAACTCTAATAAGCTCCTGAGAAAAGGTTCTTGGGAGAAAAATTTGAGACCTGGTACCTATCAAAATGCTATCTTCATTACTGACAGTTTGGCTGATGTGAGTCCAGATATCCCCTTAAATCTACCCGTCCATGGTGCTAGGACAATACCTGGCCAAGTAGGTAAGGACCGAATTTCCCAGAACCCCTGAGTTAGGTGAGACCATTTGACTAAGTTTTATTTAATGGAATGTAAGTAAAAATTATATGGGCCACTTCCTAGCCAGTCCTCTGAGACAGGTGTGCCTCCTCCACATTTTCTCTTCCCCCTTCTTGCCAGCTGTGACCCAGAGATGGCAGCAACCCAGCTTTGACACTGCAGACAGCAAGGCCCTAGAGCAATGTTTCTCAAATGTCACCATGCATAGAGATCACCTCGGGATCTTCAAATTGACTCAGTGGGTCTGGGGTGGGGCCTGAGATTCTGCATTTTTAACAAGCTTCTAGGTAATGCCAGTGCTACTGGCCTACAGACCACACTTTTGAGTATAAGACCCTAAAGGATGGCAGAGCGGCACTGCTAGCCTTGGTCCCTATAAGATTTGTGGAGCACACTGAACTACCCAGACTGAACTGTTTTATGAGAAACAATCAAGTTCTATTTTGTTGAGTCATTGTGTTTTTAGCCTTCACCCTAGCACAGCTGGAGTAGAGAATTCTAGATTGGAAATCACTTTCCCACAAAATTGAAGGCATTGCAGGGGCTGGCCTGGTGGCGCAGCAGTTTGCACGTTCTGCTTCAGCGGCCCGGGGTTTGCCAGTTTGGATCCCGGGTACAGAAATGGCAACGCTGGACAGGCCATGCTGTGGCAGGCGTCCCACATGTAAGGTAGAGGAAGATGGGCACGGATGTTAGCTCAGGGCCAGTCTTCCTCGAAAAACAAAAAATTGAAGCCATTGCTCTACCCTCTTCTACTGTGGAGTGTTACTGTTAAGAGGCTGATCCTCAGCATGTGGTCTGTTCTCTCGCTGGAAGCCTTTGCAAGACCATTTCCTTTGAGCCTAATGTTCTGATATTTCATCATGTACCTTGATGCTGGGCCTTGATGGGCCCTTTTCATATGGAAGTTAAGTCTTTTCTTCCTCTTCATTTTCTCTTGTCTCTTTGTTGAATTTAAGCCCCCTGAACTGATTCTCTAATTTTCTCATCTTTTCTTTCCTATATACCATCTCTTTTCTTTTGCTTTACTTGCTGGGAGAGTTCCTCAATTTCTCTTTCAACTCTTCTGCTAGATTTTTCATTCCTTCCCTCATGGTTTTATTTTTCAAGTGTGCTTTCTTGGATCCAATCTTTTATTATAGAATCTCTTACCTAAGAATCAATAGGGTTTTTTTCCTTAAGTTTTACTCCGTGTTGTCTAAGGTGTTGCTCTGTTTTATCGTGTTTATTTTGGTTTCTACCTTTCATTAGAAAACTTTCTTCAAATATACAGAAATCCTTTATCTTCTGTCTGCTCAGATAATGGTGAGATGCTAAGAAGTTGACTAGAAGATCTATGGAAACAGCTGGGACTTCAACTGTGGGTTTCACTATAGGGTGATGTGGCTGACTGCTTTGTTGGGGAACTCCTGATGTTAATACCCCTAGGTCTTTTCTCTGACTAATCAAATTCCCCAGATAAGTCTTCCAGTCTCTGACCTGGAAGGAATAAGCCTGGTTGCCAGAGTTCTAGAAACCACGCTTCAGTAAATAAACTTTCACTTAATCTCTGTTTTCAATACAACCGTGCCCAGGTGCCCTCCATGCCAAAGACCCTCTGTTTTCCATCTCCAACAAACAAACTTCCAGTAATCTAATGGGTTAGGGGTGAGTAGTTGTCAAGATATATAGCATAAAGGAGGAGATCTGGGGGGGTCTAACTACTTCAAATAATCCCCCCTAATTTTAGTACCTACACCCCAGTTGTACATGATGCCACTAATTTAAGGGTACATCAAGGTGCTTCTAAGCTTTCTTCACTGCTGGCTTATTTACCACTTCACTGCTAAATCACTTACACTTAGCCTTCTGTTTTCCAGTTTCTATCTAAAGTTTTGCTAATAACTCCTCTCTTTCTCTTTGACCCCTTTATAAAAGAACAATTTTATTATGATTTAGGAAAGGAGTGAAGTTAAGTGCTAGATTCCTCAAGTGTAACTGAAAGTCTCTATTCATTTGCTAACCCTGAGCAAAGTGACTTCATTCTCAATCTTCCATAAGCTGTTGAGATTGATCTTTCCAAAAAGGTAAATCTGCTCATTACACACTTCTTGAAAATCCTTCATCAAAGGTTCCCAAATGCTTTCAGAACAAAGTGCAAACTACTTGGCTTGCAAGCCTTTTCCTGATCTGGCTCCCCACTCGTCTTACCACTGTCACACCTAAACACCACCACACTCCATTCACTCCCGTCAAACTGAATCCCTCGCTGTACATCAAATTTGCTAGGCTTTTTCACAGCACCATGCACTTGCCTGTGCTGGTTTCCTTTTCCATTGCAACCTCTCATCCACCTGCTTAACCCTTAAGATTCAGTTCAAGCAGCACTTCCTCCCAGAACCCTTTCTCTGTGCTCCCAGCGACACACCTCGGGCATATCTCTAAGAAAATTCTATCCCACTACCACCTGAGCGTCCATCTCATTCATCTCTGTATCCCCAGAGCACACGAAATAGGCAGCCAGGAAGGGAAAGTGGAAAAGGCTGAAAGGAGCCAGCGTCTGACAATATATTGACAGTCTGTGTCTTGGTTGGGCTCCTGTTGAGCAGGAAGCGCTAGGGCGAATAATATAACACTCACCAAGTCAAGCTTTCCCCAGGCCCCGACAGATGGCGGAGCCGGGTAGGCAGACAGAGGGTCCATGGCTGTCCAGTCTGGAGGAACACCCCAGAGCTCCCACTATCATCACCTAGCACCAGCAGACGCTCAATAAGCTCTGGTAGAAGAAATGAAATATAGACCACAAGATTGTGTCGTGAAAGTGGACAGGTCTGAACAGCCTCAACCTAGGGAATGTTTGATACCACCTCTTCCCACAGGTGTTCCCCTAGCAGCGGCGCAGACCTAGGCGTGCGCAGTACACCCTGGGAATTGTAGTTCACCAGGTGAAGCGAGACAGGCGAGACTGCGCTGAGCGCCCTGGGAATTGTAGTGTCAGCGAGAGACCGCTCTCCGCGCAGGCGCAAAACGACAGCCACTTCCGGGCTCAAGCGCAGCGTTTCGCAAAACGAGAAAATCCCGTGGAGGATTCCCAGAGTGACAATGGCTACCTACAGCCTGGCGAACGAGCGTCTACGCGCCCTGGAAGACATCGAACGGGAAATCGGCGCCATTCTTCAAAATGCAGGTTCGGGATACGACGACCAAAGGGCAGGGAGCGAGAGTAAGGCCGAGCCGCGTGCACATGCGCCAATCGGAGACTAGAAGGGGGTTGGGGAGGGATCTTGGTGCATGCGCGGCGCATGCGGGGTGGGAGGGGCTGGCCCTGGGGCGGGGCTGTACTGGCCGTCTCCGGGTAACCCCGCCCTCTCTCCGCCCCGGCAGGTACAGTGATCTTGGAACTGTCCAAGGAAAAAACCAATGAGCGGCTCCTAGACCGGCAGGCGGCAGCCTTCACGGCGTCCGTGCAACACGTTGAGGCGGAGCTGTCGGCTCAGATCCGCTACCTCACCCAGGTGTGTGTGTGTGGCGGAGGTGCTACGCGCCCACCCAGCCCTCTGCCTTAGCCTTTGGGGGTCCCAGGCGGAGCTTTGGCCCTGGGAGCCAGGCAGGACCAGACCTCCCAAGCCGGCACTACCGGGCCAGGTGACCCTAGCAGGACCCCTCTCTTCCAGGGCCGGTTTCTTCCTTTAGAATTAAAGGTAGCCCTGCCTACTTCACTGGGTTGCATCTTATGAGCCACTGGATGGAAGAGCCCTGGGAGAGGGCTTGTAAACAATGCCAAAGCCACAGGACTTTGCCCTTAGAAACTTGCTGACATCAGGGGCATGAAGCCCAGATGGCTACATCTTGATTAAAGGGACAGGATTGAGAGGGTTTTGAAGTCATTGCAACAGCAGCCACCATTTACTAAAGTTTTACAACGTGCCAAACACTTTGCATTATCTTATCTAATCTTACAACTCTAGAAAGTAGTTATTGTCGCCCCCATTTTACAGATGTGGTTAACAGAAGGTAAGTGATTTGCCCTAGGTCATCCAGCTACCATGTGGCGTAATGGATTCACACTCAGGGAAGAAATGAGACAAGAGATGGGATGCCTGGTTGGGGAGATGGGTAAGGGAAGGGGTGCTTCATTGATCAATCTCACTGTCCTGTAGGTGGCCACAGGGCAGCCCCATGAGGGCTCCAGCTACTCTTCAAGGAAGGACTGTCAGATGGCCCTGAAACGAGTGGATTATGCCCGCCTCAAGCTCAGTGACGTGGCCCGGACCTGTGAGCAGATGCTGGAAAACTAAGCCAAGGAGCCCGTGGAGCAAGAGCTTCACGGGAGACCACCGTCTGCATCCCAGGACAGGACCTGGAGACCCGGAGGATGGGAGCATGGGCTGCCACACACATGCTCTCCCGGTTAGAGTATAGTAGGACAAAGGGGCAAAAGGTGGGAATGGAGAAACTTAAAAGACCAAGCCTGCCCACAACTATGCCCAGGCTCCTGCAGCAGGGTGCTCCTGCTCTGCACTTGACAGAAGCACTGACAAGCTGAGACAGGAGATGGAGATTCAGATACCTAACCCACTTCATATGCTTCATGTCCCCGCCCCAGGCTTCCTGCAGACTTGGGCCACTGAAGACATTCCTCTTCATTGGAAAAAGACTAAACAAGAACTAAGGATTTTAGTAATAAAAACATAACAATAAAAACAAGGAGCTCAGACTCTCACTGGGGCATATATGGGTGACGCAGAGGATTGAGGAAGTAAAACCAGCCTGTATGGCGTCTGCTGAGGGAGGGTGGGAAAGCCTAGGCCTTCCCTGTGGGGTCAGGAGAGGAAGCAGGAGAGGGCTGGATGTAGGAGGAACAACTAGTGTAGTAGGAAGAGAGGGTTGGGACAAGGGGGGGACCATCAGCAGAGAAGCTGAAGCCAGGAATCATGGTCAGGGGGCAGGGGCATGAAGCCAATGTCTGCAGAAAGAAGAGTCAATAATTATAAAAATAATTTTTAGTAGTTAAAAAACACATAGAAAACTTGTCTAAGATATTACCCAGTGTAAAAGACGATTTCACATTATAGCACAGGAAAAAAATCAAACAGGTAAGGTCTAAGAGAGGGAAGTAAGTATATTAAACATTAGCATACATACAGATACATACATAGTGTTAATGTATTAACATTAAACATACATACAGAGTGCCTGCCATGTGCTAGAGACTTAGAGTGTATTGAATGCATATGGTGCTGAATAAGTCACAATTTCTACCGTCACAAGCTTCCATTCTTAGCTCAAGCATCAGTCTGGGGCCACACGTTCATAATGAGCCTGCAAATCTGGAAAAGATAAAGAAATTGAGAGATAAGCTCTGGGATCAAGGGAAGTTGGTGGGCGGTGATAGCTTGAACTAGGGAATCAGACTCCCAAACATTAACCATATGACCTGGGTCACAGTAGGTACTCAATAAAGATTTGTGAATTAAATGAATGGCTCCCACTTTCCTTCACAGCCTACTCTAGGTGCCACTTTGTTACTCCAAGCACTGCCCAGCTTTGGAGGCCAACCACTGGGTCCCTGGGCCAGTGGTGGCTTCCCTCCCTTCCCATTCCGTAGTCTCTGGCTGACTCCTCTCACAGCTTATGGTCCACAGTGCAGAGAGCTTTCATATTTCTCCACCGAGGGTAAGTTTCCAGCCACCTGGGAGCTACTGGGGGTAGGATCCCTGCCAGGGAGTCTGGGTCCCTGGGGAAAGGGTTCAGTGGCCCAGTTTACCTGGAGAGGGCCGCAGTGTCTTCTCCCTCTTCTTACATAACACACAGAGGAGGACTCCTGTGAGGAAGAAGACGATGGCCAAGAGGGACGGCACTGCCACTGTAACTGATGTCCCAATTGCAGAACCCACATGTTCTTTCAGCTGCTTCTGGTTCTCCCCAGCCTCGGGCCCAGACACTAGGCTGTGGCCCAAAGTGGAGGCAGTGGTTTCATTGGCATGGATGAGGTTTTTGTCCAAGGACGGTGTTGCTGCTGGACGGGTGGACTGCTGGATAGGCTGCAGGGTAGATGGCAGGTATGTCTGGGCAGGGGTGACTACGTCTGAAGATGCCCTTTCTGTGGGTTCAGGAGCCTGAGTGCTGGGGGGAGGTAAATGCTCCCGGTGGGCCACTCTCCCAAGGTTACCACGTCCACATTCTGGAGAGGCAAGAAGTGAGGAATCAGGGCTATGAGGGGACAAGGTGAAGAAGCAGATAGAGGGAAGGGTAGTGGGTCAAGGAGAACATCAAGGGAACAGCTGAACGGCAGGAGAGGAAGGCAGAGGCGGAGGGGAAAGTTGGGGGACAAGAAGTGAGCAAACCACAACATGGAACCACTGGGACCAGCGTGCATTCTGAACTGGGAAGTAAGTAGACCTGGGTTAGAACCCTGGCTCTATTACAAAGTAGCTGTATGACCTTACCCCTTGTCTCTTAACCTCTCTAGGACTCATTTCTTTAGGTGTAAAGTGGAGATAATTTTAGTACCAAGGGCCAGAGTAGCTGGGAGGATCCAATGAAATAATGTGGATCTGTGCAGCCGTAAGGGCAGTATGCGTACAACTGGTGCAACACAAGACAACTTTAGGTGGGACACGGAAGAATATTTTGTATTTTAATAGCTCTGTGTTTATTTTAGGAGAAAAATACAACCAGCACATCAAATTTGTGACTTCACAGAGGTTATTGCTTAGGACAAGTTGCTACTTAAGTTTTTCAAACGTGGCTAGTGTACACTTAAGATTTATTCATTTCAGTGTATATAAATTTTACCTCAAAAGAAAAAAGGAAGAATAAAATATTGAACTCTACTTAATAATATACATGCTGAAATGTTTGGGGATGAAGTATAGTCACGCCTGCAACTTACTTAGAAATGCATCAGAAAGAAGGGGGATTCATGATGGACAGTCAGACGGAGGTGCAATAAAGCAAAGATAGTTAAAATGTAATCTCAGTAAAGTATAAAATATATTTGTTTTCATTATGTGCATATTACATAAAATATGTAAAATATAAAAATATAAAATCAAATGTTGTAGAATCTAGGTGTGGGTATATGGATGTTGACGTACAATTCCTTCAACTTTTGTATATGTCTTTAACTTTCCATAACAAAATATTGGAAAACAAAAATAGTGCCCTTGAGGGGCCAGCCCGGTGGCGCAGCGGTTAAGTGCGCACATTCCGCTTTGGCAGCCCGGGGTTCACCGGTTCAGATCCCGGGTGCGGACATGGCACTGTTTGGCACGCTATGCTGTGGTAGGCTCCCACATATAAAGTAGAGGAAGATGGGCACAGACGTTAGCTCAGGGCCAGCCTTCCTCAGCAAAAAGAGGAAGATTGGCAGCAGATGTTAGCTCAGGGCTGATCTTCCTCAAAAAAAAAAAAAAAATAGTGCCCTTGATTTTAAGAAAAACAAGTAAATAATAGCATGGGTGTTAGGATAAATTGGCAAAAACTCATGAAAGTGGTGGTGAATGATGTTTGGTAAAGAGGGACTTAAGTGAAAGTCCTTTGGCCTTAGCGTCAGACGGTTCTAGGAATGTCAGGGGCGCTGGGGGAAAGCGCTGAGGCAAAGAAAATTGTAAGGCGGAGGCAGATGAGCCCTAGAGACCGAGCCTGGAGACGAGGGCCAAACGCTCACCTTTGCGATCGAAGCAGCTTATCAATTCATGAACCCACTGGTCTTTGCTGCCCCCGCACACACTCCGCGAATGTAGCTGAAACCTGTCGGGAAACGACCTGTTCTCAGCTACACCTCCCGCCCCATCCTTTCCCCAGCTCTTTCCTCATACCGACGGAGTGACGTCACCACCAAGATAGAGCCCTTTCTGCTGGGGCAGGGCAATTCCAGATAGCTGGGACAAGGAAACGAAGGTGAACTGGGAGAATCAGGGCAATTATAAGCCGGAGAGGGGGCTAGGTCCTCCCAGAAGGAGTTCAAGTTTGACCAGAGAGGGTCCCAGAGGCGCTGTCTTCCCGGGGTGGGGGGTGTGGGGGGTTAAGATTACCTGACGTACGAACCACAGCGATCATAGCCTCTCAGTTGTTTTCGGAAATGTTCCATAAAGTCAACCGCCGGAGGGGAGTCGGACGGATATCTTGTATTACAGCGACAACTTCCAGCGATGCTGCCCTCGTTGCCATCCCCTGAGAGAGACAGCGACGGTCTGCACAGGTTCCCACGCCAAAGGGCTCCCCCAGCTATTACTTAGCCTCCAACCCACCGCCCCATCGCAGCCTCTCACCTAGACCAGGGTCTGGTCGCCAGGCTCACCCACACATCATACCCCTCAAAGACGTCCATAATCCCACCCGGACCCCGGCGTCCTTGAGCCTCTGTTTCTCTGCCCCAGCTGCCTTGGGGACTCTGGCGTACCTGGCTCCCCACTTATTTAACTCAACCCCGCGGCCCTAAAGCACTCCCCCCACCCGACACACACACACGCAAACACTCATTGCCTTCCCGGGATTTGGGGATCTGGGCCCCAGCCCGCCCCTGACGAACCTTGCAGAGTCAGCAACGCTAGCAGGAGCAGGAGCTCGAAGGGCAGGGGTCCCCGGCGCCGCCTCATCTCGGCGCCGCCTCGCCGTCTGACTCTCAGACAGGCTCGAGAGCAAGATGTCCAGCTGATTTCTCAGGCTTTCGCCTCGATCCCCCGCTCCGCCGGAGATTCCGGGGCCGACTGCGGCCAAGGGCACCGAGTCTCGGCCGAAGAGGGGGCGCGAGGTGGCGGCGCCCTCCGTCCCCAAGCTGCGCCGCCTAGAACAGACAGCGCGGCCAGCCCCGGGGACCCCGCGCGTCCGCCCGCCTCCCGCGGCGGGGAAACCCCCGGAGGCGGAGCCCCTTCGCCCACGTCGGGCCCAGAGCCTTCGTCGACGGGGCGGCCAGGAATGTCTAAAGAAAGCGAAAGAAAAGTCAGGCTGCGGAGCGAGGCGGGACAGGCAGCCAGTGGCCGGACGGCTGATTGCAGTCGGGTTCAGGGACGCCGGTGCGCCCGCCCCAGGTCACTCCGCGGACCTGGGGATGCAGGTGAGCCGCTTCACCTCGCCTCTCCTCCGAGCCGCTTTCACTTCCCCCGTAGGGGTCCTGGCGCAACCGGACCTGTCACATGGCCGGGGTGATGCCCGCGAGAAAGTTCGCGCGCTGGCCAGGCGCTCAGCTCACTCTTGATTCACCACCGGGGCGTGGCCACCGAGGGGCGGGCCGTGGGCGCGGGCAGCCCTGACGTCACGACCGCCCCGCCCCGAGGTATTTACCTTCGAAAAGTGGTGGCGGCTGCAGGTACCGGAGTAGTGGAGCGGCCAGAAGGGACTAGGTCTACTGGGGCGCACGGCCAAACCGATCCAAGCCAAAGGGATGCCTCGGCTCCTATTCCCTCCTCCTACACCCGGGAGACTGATCCCAAATTCTTCCCTCCTCACTAAACCCTTCTCCAGAGGATTAACCCTCCCGCATCTCTATCCCCAAGTCAAATCCTACTTTTGAGGGTTCGAGCCTCAAATTTTGAGCCCAAATACTATCTGACTGCTGACTACTCATCTTTAACCCTAATCTCCCGCTTTCAAGTCTAGTCCCGATTCTCATCCCGAACTCCCATCCTCAGCCCTGAAAACCCTATTCTCCGCTCATACCACTCATCCGTTGGCTCCACCCTGTGACCCTTAAACTCACACCCTTC